CTACTTTCTCCTCCTCTATCTGCTTGGAATTCCCACCTTGCCCTATGATGCAAGGTGATTCTTTATTAGCCAGTGGTATTCATAGCATACAAAGGGGAATCCCACATCAGATTCTGATTTCTTATAAGTTCCCACATATTGCTCTATAGCCCACCATTTTATGTGGAGTGAAATAAATTATTATTATTATTATTTGTTGTTGTTGTTGTTATCTGAAAGGTCTTTGCTCTGGATGTAGATGCTAATATTGGAGAAACTGGGATGTGGATACTGCAAAAGCATCAAACTCCCAGATCTAGCCTACAGGGCCAACAACAGCTTTAAGCTTTAAGTGGCACAAGTGTCTGAAACCTCATTGACGGAAGGCAATTCAGCTGCTGAGGCCTTCCACAACTTGGCTGATGCCCTCAAGATAGTTCACCATGGGCAGAGTGGGAATAAATTAAAGCAATAACCTGTAGCTAGAATCTGCTGGGGAGTGAGAGGGAAAACAAGACCGTAGTAGTGAGAGCATCAGAAGGTTTAGGTGAGCCCTGGAAAGGGTACCAGGCTGAGAGGCTGATGCAGGTCCAGCCTTTGAATACTGGCTATCCTGTGACATCCAAGGTCAGAGACAGCCGAACTCCTGCTGTCCACAGGGTGTCCTGACACCCTTCTCTGTCCTGATTCCCTCAAGCTTGTTAGCAGCTTTGGGACGGCGACTGAGAATGACAAGATTCAATATGATTGATTTGTTGCACAAAAGGCGATCTGGCTGTAATTACCCAGAGACTTGAAACAGATAAAATGGATGAAATGTGTGAAAATGACCCGAAAACCAACTAACTGAAAAAATTGACTTTTCCCATTAAACTTCCACATCACTGCCTGAGGATGTGGAAAAATATTATATACGATTACATGAAGATATCCTTGAGATTTATTAGTTTCATCCATACTGTTTTTCAAAAATCATGTTTCTTCATATTCAAATTTGTTATAGCTTTAAGTAGTCAATTTATCAATTATGATTTTGAACAGTTGTTGCTTTCCAAAAGAACCATTAATGAATACACTTCTGTGTTGATAAAAAGTTGGCCATCATTTGAAAATTTATTTTTCAGTTCTTTGCTGGGCAACTGATTCTTTTATTGGCCATTAAGTACCTCCTACCCGTTTCTGTTCCAACTGCCAAGTTAATTGGGCAGTATGCTTCAGTGCAATTAGTAGCCACTTAGCTTCAAAAGTGATATTTCTTATGCACAAGTAGAATTCAGCTGTTTCTAGTTTGAGGGATTTGGACAAGTAACTGAGTTGTTCATGCGATTACGTGCTTGTGAAGTATGGTGGTGGTTAGGGTAACTGTGTCAGGACAGAAGCTGGCATTTAGTAATGCTAGCTAGCTACACCAACACTACTGTTTGGATGCTAGCAACTTGTATTGTGTGTGCATTTACTTATGTGGGACAAGAGTTTTATTAACAATACTTCAGTCATGCTTTTTATAGTCAGATACTTTAAGTCATGCCATCTCCTTGCCTGTAGGTAGAGGCCAGCTTGAGTTTCCTCAGATCTCCATTTCCATTTACCAAACAAGGAGAAAATCACCTGCTTTAGAGTTTTCTCTCAGCTGAGAGGCCATATCCACTTGCCCAACATATGTAAGGTGTTCGCCAAGGAGGTTTCTGAATCCACAAAATGTTCCCAGGATGCAACATTTATTTTCGCCTTTGCTTTCTTTTTATTTCTGCCCCAATGAATTTGTCTTGCCGTTGATAAATTATTAAACTTGAAATCGACTGTCATTGTTAGAATACCTTGAGCTTCAACTTGGTCATTATATTAAATGTTCTTTTACTGTTGTTGTTTTTTTTTTTAAATTTCTACATCACAGTTCCTAATCTGTTTTTCCTAATTTTTCTCCTTTGAAAATTATGGCATGAGTTTCAGTTCCTGGATGCTGTGCCTGTCATTTATGCAGTCTCTCTTTCATCTGTAGCTTCCCATGTTCTACTGTGAACAACAGAACTATCTGAGCATCTTGTTAATATGGCACAGTCTGGTTGAAAGCTCTTGTTCAATAGTTCCACATGAGTAGCAGACTTGAAGATGCTGCTGATGGCCCAGAGAAGACACATTGAGAATCACTCTTCTACATAGGTAGTAGTAACAACAACAACCCCATCACTTGCATAACCTTTGCTTCTTCTACCACTGTGCTGTGGTTTGTAGGCATGTTGCACTAACACACCAATCTTTCAATGAAGTAGGTAATATAGTCCTGCTCTAATATAGAAGAGGAAACCCAAGCACAGAAGATTAAGCAGTGTGCTTACAGATGTGTGTGTGTATGTGTGTGTATGTGTGTGTGTGTGTGTGTGTGTGTGTGAGAGAGAGAGAGAGAGAGAGAGAAAGAGAGAGAGTTCTAAAATATAGAAATAACAAAAATATGGCTTACATTGTAGAATTGGACTTACTTTATTTGGAGGTACTTGAATATATTGAAAACAACATGATGTGTCAATATATATTGTGAAAACAGTAATTTAGTTACATACTATATTGAAAATATACTCATTTCTTTTTTGAATCCCAAAAAATGTGAGCCAATTTCTTCTTTGAAGGTCAGAGAGTTTTAACTTGCTCAAAGTCATTGACAACAAGTATGTCTACACACCCTTACCTAGGGTGTGGTTGCTTTGTGCTTTAGACTTTAAGATGGCCCAGACAGGTAGAGCTACTCCACCTTGACCAAGTTCAGAGGATTTAGGCATACTTCTAACTCTTTCTTTTGAATTATGAGATTTAACCTAGAGAGTGGCTGCCTTCAGAATACTTGGTCTAGGGCGAATTCACTGCCTACACAACAGAAAGCTTTTCTCAGGAATTAATGACTTGATGTCTCAAGTATTGAAGCAAGGAACTGTTCTAGTGTCCTTTGTATCATATTACAGCAGTCTTTTGTCTTCTTCCCCCTGTTGTATTAGGGTATAAAACTGTCTGAAAAATTAAACATGGGCAAATTTCAGTGTTCACTGGAACTTTCTCCTGGTACCATCCTCTGTTTCTGTTTTATAATTATTTTTATGTGTGTCTTTACGCTCTTCACTATCTTTTCTAATCCCCTTGCCCCTACCCTAGGAAATGGTATACCTCCTTGATATCTTTTATGTATATGAATTTTTTGTAAAGAAGTATTAGTGACACATACCTATTTTTAAGTTACATTTTATCCTTTTATTGAAAATAGATTTTTTTCTCACATAGTATACCTATTTATGCTTTTCTCTCCCTCCACTCCTACTTCCTCTACGCCTCCCCTCCCATCTAGATCCAGCCCCTTCCTCTCTCTCATTATAACAACAACAAAAACAAAACAGCTTCTAAGGGATAGCAATAAAATATAGCAGCATAAGACAAAACAAGGCTAAGATGTCAGAAAGACTATTCTTTTTTAACTTTTTATTAATTCTGAATTTCACTTCATGCATCCCAATCCCACATGTCACCTTATCTCCTTCTGCCCCTTTGACAATTCTACCAGAACAAAGCAAAATTAAAAGTATAGTCAACAAACAAGCGACAACAACACAGACACACACAAACAAAAACAAAGACAAAAGAAAAACATCTCAGCGTGACGGCTGGAGTGTAGCAGGGTCAACTCTGCTGTTCTCCAACACTCAGAACCTGCTCACCTGTACCGCTGCCAAGAGGGTCAGTTTGATTGTGCTGCCCAGAGAGTGCCAATTCTCCTGCTCTCCTGACCTCAGGGCCGGCTCTCCCAACTGCCACAGGCGGCAAGAGGTGGGGAAGGGAGAAGCCTCTTATTTCTCGCCCACTCCCCCATATAGCTTATGAGAAATAGGGCCAGATCTCCTACCCATTGTCTCAGCGCGGATTACTTACACCCTTGTCAACAGGGTCGGTCGGCTCTACTGTGCTGGCCAGCAGAGGCCCAGGGCCCACTCTCTTGAGTGCTGCAATCCTTGAGGGGCAGGGGCAGGGGCAGATCCCCCCACTCTGCTAACCCTGAGGTCAGCTTTTCGCTCCTGAAATAGGTGACTCGGGACAAGGGACAAGGGAGGTATCCCTTGCTCATCCCTGCCACCACAGGACACACAGTGGGGCTCCCTCCCCCACTCTCATGCTCTCAGGGCTGGCTCACCTGCACCCCTGCCAACAGGAGCAACTCTAATATGTTATCCAGGCAAGTTGCACAGGCCAGTTCTCCCCAGGGCTGCAGCCAGTGAGAGGTGAGGCCTACTCTGTGCAGTCCCATCCTCACTGCTTTCAGTGAACACAAACCTCAGAAATCAAAACAGACCCTGACTACAGACTCAGACATGGCTCTCGCTACAGCCCAAGCTTGTAGGATGCCATGGCCCTGGGTGGCAGCTGATGTCACTCAGGTTTGTGTGGGCCAGGCAGCAGCACAGACTCCTGACACCAACATGGCCAGAGGTGGCAGCTCAGATCCTTGGGCCTCCTTGTAGCCTTTGGTGGCAATGTAGGCCATAGACATCAACACAGACTCAGGAGGCAGTAGGACCGGGATGCATACATGGTCCTTGAAAGCATCCTGAACCAGATGTCATAATGGCTCTAGTTGGCATTGCAGATTGCCCAAATAGGCATCAGTGGTGGTGTGGCCCTCAAACACCAACATGTCTCCAGGTAGCAGCCCAAATGCTAGGCATTCTATCTACCTTCAGTGACAACCAGAGCTGTGAACATAAATGTAGACCCTGGCTGCAGTAGATAGGGTCACAGACCCAAACAAGGCCCTCCACAGCCATGCAGGTCCAGAAAACCCTATGGACCCTGGTAAGAGCATAGACCTCCCAGGTCTGTATGATCCGGAAGCGGCTTGATCCTCAGAGGCCAATGTGGCCTCAGGTAAGAAAATGTTCTAAATGCTCTATTGTAACATCCTGCTATTAAAATAGTCTGTCACTTGCTTATTAATATCATGTTAAAGAATTCTTGTACTTAATAATTATTTTACTATTTTCTTTTAGGACAGAAACCAAAAGATAAGTGACAAAGAGGCACGTGACTGTCCATTGTCCCAGATGCTTCCCACAAGGACTGTGGGACACCTGATATGTTACTGTCTGAACCGAGATGAGCTCAGCACTCAATTCAACTTGTTAGTATCAAATATATGCCGGGTTTGTAAAACGGGATATTGAAAGATAACATTTCCTACACAATGTTCATAATTTTCGTTGAGATAAAAGATATAAAATTTTTAATGGATTAGAATCATTGCAAAGATGTTTTAGCACATGCCATCACCAGTTTCTGTTTCCAGGCTAATAGAAAAATTAAATATCTGTTTTTGACTTTTATTTGAACTGGACAATATTTGTGCAAAGCTTGAAGTATAGGTAGTTGATTATATACTTTTCACAATTTGTTGTATTATATAAACAAGTGGATGTCACCACAAAACAGGACATGTTTAAGGCTCCGGGAATGTGGCTGTGCATGGGAGAGGCCAGTGGGTAACCAGATGTCTACAAAGTGGCTGACCACGTCTGCTTCCTTTGACTTTAGTATTTATCCTGTGACTGTGATCCAATGAGTACCTCAGGGTCTCTATTACTGGTATGTGAGTTAATGTGCCTATTTTAATATGAAAATGCTTGGATTCAAACCGTGAAAGGGGATTATGCATTTTCCCAGGCATAAGTTTGCATAAAATCTGAAAGAGTACACAAGGTTGCCTCTAAATTCAAGATTTAAAATTTAACAGTTCTTTTCTAACAGACAGTTTAGGATAAAAATTTAGGACAGGACTCCAGCCAGAAAAACAGTGGTCACACCTAGCAGGATCACAGACCTTCATCAAGTAGCATCTAACCACCACACTCTCCTAAGAACCAGAGATGACAGCAGAAACCAAGGAAGAAAAGCTCCACCCAACAAAGAAAGGACCAGATAACAGCACCAAGAACTGCAATTTCCCCAAATCCAAAGGTCTAGATGATAGTATAGAAATACAGCTAATACCAGGAAAGACAACATGTCTACTAGAGTCCAGCAACCCTACCAGAGCAGGCCATGATTATTCCAACATAGCTGAAGCACTAGAAAAAGACCTTAAAACAACCTTTATGAATATGACATAGGTCTTAAAGAGGAAAGGGATAAATTCCTCAAAAAATTCTAATAAAATACAAGCAACCATAAAGAAAAAATGAATAAAACAGAATCTAAAATCGGAAATACAATTAATGAAGATTATGCCTATAAAGTGATTTCAGGAAATGAAAAATTTAGGAACTTTGACAAGACTTCAGAGGCAAGATTCACCAACAGAATACAAAAGATGGAAGAGAGAGTCTCAGGAACTGAACACATGGTAGAAGAAGCAGGTAATTTGGTGAAAGAATAAGAATAAATTGAAGAATTCCTGGCACAAAGCATCAAGGAAGTTTAAGACACTGTAAAAAAAAAGACCAAATGTTAGAAAAATAGAAATAGAAGAAAGAGAGGAAAACCAGATCTAAGGCATAGAAAATATTTTCAACAAAATCATAAAGAAAGTTTTAAAAATCTAAAGGAGAAAATGGCTGTAAAGAAGAAAGCAAAATAGCATATAGATCAGAAGAGAAAACAAAGTCCCCTTGGCACATAAAAATCAAAACACTAAATGTATAAAATAAAGAAAGAATATTAAAAGGTGGAAGGGGAAAGTAACATATAAAAGAAGAATAATTAGACTTAATCTAACTTCTCGACAGAGACTTTAAAAGGTAGAAGGGCCTGAAGAGGTGGAATATCTTCTCTTATAGAAGACAGCAGGACAGATTCCTATACCCAGCAAAACTTTCAAAACTTTCAATTACAATAAATGGGAAAAATAAGCCAAGTTTAAGGAATATCTTTTTAAAAATGTATTCCTGCAGATGGTGCTGGAAAGAAAACTTCAACTTAAAGAGGCTAAGTACACCCAAGTAAACACAAGAAATAAATTATTCCAGACCAGAAAAATCAAAAGAGGGTAAGAACACACACACACACACACACACATCCAAAATAACAGAAATCAACAATCCTTGGTTATTGGTATCACTCAATATCAATGGTCCCTGCCAATAAAAGATGCAGACTAACAGAATGGATGCAAAAGCAAGATTCATCCTTCTGTGGTATCTAAGAAATGAAAAAAGCCCACCAAGAGGACAATGTAATTTCAGCATCTATGCCCCAAAGTCAAGTTCTTAAACAAAACAATACCACAGCTTAAATCACATATCGACCCTCACACATTGATAGCGGGGGACTTTAGTTCCATACTCTAGAAAATAAACAGGTCATTAAGACAAAAATTAAAAAGAAATTGCTGGATCTGCTCAACATTTTAAATCAAAAGGACCTAACAGATATTTACTGAATATTTCACTGAAACACAAAAGAATAAAAATAATATACCTTCTTCTCAGCACCTCATGAAACTTTCTCCAAAACTGAACTCATACGCAGACACAAAGCAAGTCTCAGCAGATGTAGGAATATTGAAATAACATCTTGCATCCTCTCTGACCACCACGAACTTAAGCTGTAAATCATCAGTAACAGAAACAGCAGAATGTTTGAAATATCAAGGAAACTAAAACTCTCTAATGAGTGAAAATGGGTCAAAAAAGAAATTAGTAAAGAAATCAAAGTCTTTCTAACATGGAAGCAAAATGAATCCACAGCACACCCAAAGTTATGGGACACAAAGAAGGATTTTCTAAGAGCTAAATCCACTAAGCGCCTACATAAAAAATTTTGAGAGGTCTCATACTAGAAACTTAAAAGCTTACCTGAACGCTCTAGAACAAAAAGAAAAAAGTCATACCCAAGTGGAGTAGATAGCAAGAAATAATCAAACTCAGGACTGAATTCAATAAAGTAGAAATGAACAAAAAAAACAGAAAAAAATCAATGAAACAAAGAGTGGGTTATTTGAGAAAATCAATAATACTGACAAGCTCTTACCAAACTACTAAAAGCAGAGAGAGGATATTCAAATTAACAAAATTAGAAATGAAATGAGGGGGGGCATAACAAAAAATCCAGAGAATCATAAGAACATAGCTTAAATATCTATACTCTACCACCTTGAAAAAGCTTAAAGAAATGGATAATTTCTCAATACACACTGCTTGCTATGGTGAAAAAAATCAGTATCATATGATGAAGTAGGCTTCATACCATAGATTCAAAGATGGTTGGTTCAATATATGGAAATAGATCATTGTAATCCACCTTATAAACAAAATGAAAGACAAAGAACATATGATCATCTCATTAGATGCAGAAAGGGACTTTGCCAAAATCAAATACTCCTTCATGATAAAAGTCCTGGAAAGATTAGGAATTCAAGAGACATATCTAAACATAATAAAGGCCGTTCACAGCAAGCACACAACCAAATCTTGAATGGAGAGAAACTCAAAGCAATTTTACTAAAATCACTTTCAGGACAATATTGTCCAGTCTCTCCATACTATTCAATACAGTACTTAAAGTCTTTGTTAGAGTAATGAGACGACTGATGGAGATCAAGAGAATACAAATCAGAAAGGAAGAAGGCGAAGTATCATTATTTGCAGATATGATAAATAGGTGACACTAAGAATTTCACTGGGAAACTCCTGCAGCAGATAAACACTTTCAGCCAAATAATTGGATACAAAAGTAACTCTAATAAAGCCCTCCCATATTCAAATAACAAATGAACTACAAAAGAAATAAGGGAAATAATAAATTTCATAATAGTCTCTCCATCAAATCCCTTGCCTTGGGCCTCAGGGAACCTTTCAGAAGAGGAGGCAGAAAGAGTCTAAGAGCTGGAAGGGATGGAGGACACCAAGGAAACTAGACCATGTAAATCAACGTGAGAAAAGTTCATAGGAACTCAGAGACTGAAGCTGCATGCACAGGGCCTACAAAGGAATGTTACATCTTCTGTGTATATATTATGACTTACAACAGTATTTTTAGGGGATTCCTGAGTTTGGAAATGAATGGGTTTTTTATTCTTTTCCTTTTTTCTTGGACTCTTTTCCTCCTGTTTGCTTGTTTTGTCCAATTTCACTGTGTTCGGTTTTTTTTTCTTTATCTTATTATGTTTTATTTATATCCCTTAGGATCCTGTTTGTTTTCTAGTGAGAAACACAAGAGAGGGCAGTTGGAGATGACTTGGGAAGATTAGAGGAAGGGAAAATCATAGTCTTAATATATTATATGAGAAAATAACTTGTTTTTAATAAGTAGGGAGAGTATATATCGCTGAAAACAAGAAACAAAGAATTTAGGTCTGGAAACATTTTAAACTTCAGAGTGGCAAGACACAGAAAAACACATATTTCTCTCATTTTTTAAGTGTAAATATATACATTTGCACTCCCTCCTTTTATTAAACATAGATTCTTTTCTTATACAATATCCTGTGAATTAAGGTTTCCCTCCCTCTACTTCCACACTTACTCTCCTATCTGTATCCACTCCTTTTGTATCTCTCATTAGAGATGAACAGGTTTCTAACAAATAACAATAGAACATGAGAAAATAAAATACATCATATTGAAGTTCAACAAGAAAAGCCAGCAGAAAAATAAAAGGCCCCTAAGAACAGGCACAAGAGTCAAGGACCGACGAGTTCATAAACTCGGTAATCCCATAAATGTACTACACTGAAAGCTATAGTGTGTGCGGAGGACCTGGTTCAGACCCATGTAGGCCCTGTGCTTGCTAATTCAGTCTTGTAAGTTCTTATAAACTTTATTCGACTGTTTTAGAAGGCCTCGTTCTCCTGGTGTCCTCAGTTCATTATGTCTCCCTCCCTCCTTCAGCTCTTTCTCCATGGATTTCCATGAACTATGAGGGGAGAAATTTGATGGAGATATCCCATTAAGAGTTGTGTGTAAGGCCCTGTCCTCCCTGTTCCTTGAGGCCAAAACACAGGATGCAAGTAATGTTTATGCTTACCAGCTAAGCCTGGTACATTAGCCTGAGGGGTCTATTTTACTTTGAAATGGTAATTTCTCAACCTGCCTGGAAGAAGCTCAGGCTCCAAGGCCCATCTTACCTGTCTGACATTGCCTTGAACTCTCGACCACCTGCCTGGGGAGAAGCTCCCACAAAACGCCAGTTTCCCCAGCCCCCTCTGGGTGGGAG